CTCTTGACACTATTTTCTGTTTATGTGACTTCCACATGATCGGATTATTAAAAACTCTTATAAGGATTCCTGTCGTCGACTTCCTATCCGATTTATCTGCGGCCCAATCAGCGTCTACATAAGCGTCCAATTGTTCTTCATATTGGGCGTCATAATTCATCTTCAAGTGTCTCGTGCAGTAAAGATATTTGAGAACTCGCAAGGCATATTTGAAATGAGTATCACTATAAGCATTTTGGAAACGACTCAAATAGTTAACGCTATAAGATACGTCTGGCCGTGTTCCACTCGCAACATACAGAAGAGCTCCAATCAAGTTTCTATACTTTAACGTTGCACTGACATCTTGACTTGGATCAATGCTTAAATTCATTTCCATTGGTGTCTCAAAGTTCTTTGATTCGATTACGTTATACTTTTCAGCTAAACTTACAATGTATTTTTCCTGGCTTAAAGTCATTCTGCCTTCTTTTGGTTCAAAAACTACATCTATTCCAAGATACTGTTTCACCTTTCCCAGATCTTTCATTCGGAATCTATTGTTCAATAGCCGTTTAACTTCGTCAATTGCCTCATTTTTCTCCCCACAAATCAAAATATCATCCACATACAGACATAGATATTATATATTTACATTATTTACACACCCTGTATACAAACAATAGTCATAGTCTGACCTATTGAAATTAATGCTTGACATGAATTCGTGAAAGCATTCATACCAATCACGTGGGCTTTCTCGCAATCCATAAAGAGCTTTTTGTAGTTTGCACACTTTATTATTCTCTGTACAATATCCATCAGGTGGGTAAATATAAACTTCAGACTTAATACTCCCATTCAAGAATGCTGTCTCAACGTCCATTTGTTCAATGTTCCATCCTCGTACACATGCAATTGATAATAAAGCTTTCATTGTCGTCATTCGCGCTACTGGTGAATAAATTTCCTCGTTTTCTTCATACATCTGTTGGAAACCTCGTGCGACTACTCTTGCCTTATACTTTCCATTCGACTTGATCCTAAAGATCCATTTAACATCTATTATTTTCTTATTTTCAGGTCTCTCAACTAAAATCCACGTTTCGTTCTTTTCCAAACTGTTCAATTCCTCTTTCATTGCATCTTTCCATTTATTTACATCCGGACTTTTTATTGCTTCATCATACGTATCTGGTACCAGTGCATCACTAAAATTTATATATACAACATGATCTTTATATTTCTCTGGCATTTTTCTATCTCTTTTTGGTCGGATATCCGTCACCTCCTCAGTCACAGCTCTACTTGATTTTTCCTTTGAGTCATCAACACTATCATAAAATTCTTCGTTTTCATCAGTTTCATCTTCAGTATTTACTATCTTTATTATCTGTTCTTCTTTCGTACCTATAAATGTAACGTGACGACTAATGACTAATTTTTCATTTATTAATACTCTGTATCCCGTATCTGTGTATCCTACTAATATACCTTTTGTAGCCTTTGGGTTAAGTTTTGATGTGCGTAATTCGTCTCGAATTCGTACATAACACTGTGATCCGAAAATTTTTAAATTACTTACATTTGGCTTCCTCCCCATAAAAATTTCGTACGGTGTTTTTTTCTCATACGTATTTGTTAATATTCTATTACCTAGATATGCTGCAGTCATAACGCATTCAGGCCAATATTTCTTATTTATCTTTGCTTCTGTAAGCAGACACCTCGCTCTCTCCATTATGGTTCGGTTAAATCTTTCAGCTACACCGTTCAACTCGTGTGTATAAGCTGGCCCTGGTTTTAAATAAATACCTTTTTGCTTTGTGTAAGTGTAGAAATCGTTGTTAATATATTCTCCGCCATTGTCACATCTGATTTCTTTCACTCTCTTACCTGTTTGATTTTCCACCATATTTACATAATCTCTAAAACAATTAAAAACATCACTCTTGTTATTAATTAAGCATAGATAAGCTAACCTACTATAGTCATCTATGAATGACACAAAGTATCGTTGCCCCTTATATCCAGTGGGCGTAATCGGGCCTGCCACATCCGTGTGGATAATCTCTAACAAGTCTGTTGCCCGTCGTCTTTGATTTCCAAAAGGTAGATTTGTCATTTTGTTCATCAAACAAACTTCACATTGCACGTAACCCTCGCCTAAAGTGATAGGTAACCCATCTACAACCCTATGCCTGCACATTTCATTTAGTTTCTTAAAGTTAGGGTGCCCAAGTATTCTATGCCATTTTTCTTTTTCTGACATAATGTTACCACTTGTGTATGCTACTGTACCTGCACCTAAATTAACTCTGCCACCTAATTCGTACAATTTATTTTTCTTGCGTGCGACGGCCATTAAACCTATATGTACATTATATATATTTGCTATTTCTCCTCTAAATTGAATTGTATTATTGCTATTTACAATGCATGAAACGCTTAATAAGTTCTTTTTCATATTTGGAACATAATATACATTGGAAACATCAATTTTATTTGACTTACCTCCTGCTTTACAGTACATTGTTACATTTCCTATTTTCTCCGACTTAAGACAAAATCCATCACCTACCTTAATATTCACAGGTGTTTCTAAAATTTTATAATCACGAAAGAATTTATCGTCATTTACGATGTGATCGCTACATCCGCTGTCCAATAACCATGTTATATCCGCTTTCGTTTCGGTAGCTCCTGTCATCGCTTCTACTTCTACGTTGAATCCAAATCCATCACTGGTGCTGCTACTTTGTCCTGTATTCACGCTTCTATTGTTGTATCCTCCTCTATATCCTCTGTGAGTTCCTCGTCGTCCGCCTCCATATCCGCGTCCTCTACCACGACCATGACCACGACGTGCTAACTTAGGACAATCCCTCCTGTAGTGTCCTGGGCGGTTGCATTCAAAGCAGTTATCATTATTCCTGGACCCATCTTGGTGTTGATTTGATCGAGAACTGAACGTATGAGCTTCTTGTTCGCTCTGTTTTCTTTTCATTTCAAGTAGTAATTTGGACTTCACGTACTCCACTGTCCGATCCTTTGTCGGCATCGCATCAACAATATTTACAATATGTGCAAAACTCTCAGGTAATGCAAGCAATAAATAGTTCAGTCTATCCTCTTCCGACACGACTTCTCCAGCATTTTTCAATTCATTGATTTGTTTTTCAAATGTTTGTATGAATTCTAGTATATCGTCGCCATCTTTGAATTTTGTTTCTAGTACTTTCCTTTTAATTAATAATTTATTAGCACTGCCTTTTACTAAATACATCTCGTCAAATTTTTTAATCATCCCGTAAGCCGTACTTTCATTCATTATTATATCGAGCTGAGTATTATTTACGCTATTCACTATAATATTTCTAGCCTTTAAATCAATTTTTCTCCATTCTGTGTCTGTCATACCTTCATGTTTTATATCATTTTCCACAGCTTCTTGGCATTCCTTCATTTGTAACAACAACTTTAATCTAAATTTCCATTTTTCGTAATTTGCACCATCAAATATCTGAATGCCTACTTCTCCTATCTTTACTTCCATTTTCGGTACCTTACTTCTTCAATTGTTTCGGTACTGACCTTGTCAAATAATTTCCACTTATCTTCCTCTTTCTATTTATTTTATTCAACAACGCTCCTTTGCTACCATGTTGAGGAAGTGGATCGTAGAAAGGAAAGACAATCAGCTCGTAATATTTAGTTTATGTAGTCCCAATCACATTACATTTTATTATAGGTATAGACCGTTGACGTATTTAGCAAAGTCCTAGAATGAAGTAACGGTGACATAGAGAACAGGCCATCGAGTCGCGCTAACAAGAAGGTTTTACATAAAATCATAACTTCAATAATCAACACCAGAAAGAATCGACACCACTTTATGCCTGGTTTGTAGTTAGGTTTTCCAGATGGCCGGGAAATCCGGGATTGTCCCGTGTCCAGTAATTAGAACTTATTGTCCCGGATTCCGAATATGTGCTAGGTTCGTAACAAAATAAACTAATAACGAATGACACCGCTGGCCGGCTTGATGTTTTAATTCGGGGGGGGGGGGGGGGGGTGATGGGAGGTTTGATTAAATGCTACCCTGGAATGGACTGTTGACTTGAGCACAGATTACAGGGAATATGTGATTTGTGAGTCTTCTCAATAATAAAAGAAAGTCTTCTTCTGTGAGTGATTACCTACTGAAACCTAATGTGGGATTTACACTACCCAAGTTTAAGGGACTCTTACCCTGACTCAGGGTGGTGTGTTGTGAGTTAGGGAGTAAGGAACACGATTTAAGGCGATCAGTGTGGTGCAATAATTGCTTTCTCTTGCTAGGAGCCACGCCCACCCTTTCAATTGGGCCCTTGAAATTGGGTAGTGTAAATCCCGTTTGTATGACTCGGAGGATATTAGTAACTAAGTAATCTGTGCTCAGAGGTCTTTTTGTTCTTGAATGAATGAACTTTTCTAAATTTTTTTGGCGGGATTTCATCGAGTGTGGTTGGCGTCTTATTTTAATTATTCTTAAATTCGTTCATAGTGGATATTGTGAAATAAAATTGGTGTGATTTTGTGTTACAACTGTCTGCGTAACTGAAGAATTAGTAGAATCGTCAAAATATACGCTATTCCGGTCAAGTGGACGTGAGAATTTTATTGTAGTATTGACTACCTCACAGAAGCTTATCGAAAAAGCCAGCTCGATACATTTCGTGCCAAACACTTCAAGAAACATTAGAATGCGTCACACCCACATTCTAATGTAAAAAGAAAAACAGAATAATTTAACTTAAGATTAGGCTGTATGGGCATTGTTCCCTTTGCCTTCCTTGAAAAGGGAGAACGTAACCAAAAAAAAATGAACTGTTCTAATTAATCTATGCTATGCTATGATCTCTCCCAGCATCCAAGTTTGAATCAGTTTTGTAATATAATTTTGATAAAGCAAACTTCTTTGTTAAAAAAATAAAGTATTCTCTTCTTATGTGTAACTTCATGTGTATATATGTAAAATCATGAAGAAAGGGTTTAAAGTAACAGACGTGAAACGCGAGAAAAAAATCGGAGTCGCCGCCGAAAATTTGAATGAATTGATACAAAAATCATGTAAAAAGTTAGGGGTAAGTGTGTTTTTGTTTATTAATAATCTTATGAAAAAGACTTGTGTCGTTTAAATTTTAATATTTACTGTACTCTCGTAAAATTTATATTATTAGGCCAAGGTTAAGCCTTGACACATATTTATGTAGCCTTGAATCCTTGACCTAATTTCCAGTTCAATGTCGGGTTTGCTGAATGCAAGTTATTCGTCGCTGAAGATGGTACACGAGTAGATGATGATGATTACCTGGACACTCTCCCATCGCAAACACTCTTTATATTATTAAAAAACAAGGAGACAATGGTCACGGGTATGTCACATAAAAGAATAGAAGTGGAATGAACTTTGACACCTAATATGATTTTCTGAAATACTGCAAACAATATTTAATGTCCTAACTAAACATTTCTTGAAGTATTATTATTATTTTGGTCTGTATTGTATCACTGTATCAAATTTCATCTAAATCTGTACAAGCTTTTAGGATATTTATTTTTATTGTCCTATAGTACTATATAAAAAAAAGGGCCATAATCCTTGGACAATTAATGCATATTGGATGGAGCATAACATAAAAAAGTGTGTCCATTTTTCATAGTGTGTTGGTGTTAATTAGTATTGTTGTGTCTTGAGTTGTGTTTCAGTTCTTGATACGAAAATAAATATGGTTTTTGACAAATTTTTGTAAACAATCATACATTATGAGGAGCTGGCAAACAAAACAGTATAATTATGCATCTGGTCAAACTACTTTTTTCTACAACCCGGAGGTTTTTGGCCCATTAGATTGAATCTCAAATAATTTAAAATCAAAACTGCCTAAAACAGTGTTAATATTACTAAATTTATAAATTGAAAACCATGCCAAAAGCTCACTAGAGGTATGTCATTTAGTTTTATACAGCTCCTGTAAAATTTTATTTATAATAGTGTATATTATTAATTCTTTGGAAAGTGGTTATTTGTCATATCCCTAAATCATTAAAAAAATGAAATAAAAAAAAGTACTTCCTAATATGCTCCTGAATTATGTCTCTGAGCAATGAGTATGGCATTTTACCTATATGTAATTTCACATGACTGACATTTAAATTTGAAACTGAACAAGTAACATCACTTTGACTGAAAGTTCACATGTGTGATTTCATTTTTCACATACCTATACAAGATTAACAAACTTGAACAAAGTGGCCATTATGATATTAGGTATAATATCAATCAAAAATTGGTAGTATCGTTTTTATTTATTTAGGCGTTGCTGCGCCTAGTCACATGAGATCTCTTCTATCCCAGCATACTTTTGTTGGTTTTTCATCGTAAAGTACCCACTAGACCAGCTATACTCTAAGTGTGTTCCGCGGAACCCTAGGGTTCCGTGATACCTCTGTCGGGGTTCCGCAAGAATTTAGAAATAAAAAAATCAAAACACCTCTCTCTGGTCGCTCCGCGGCTGTGCGGACTCCGCGGCCGCGCGGAGACAAAACGCTATGAATGTTATTTATTTATTTATTTGTATTTGTATAAGCTTGTGTTACATTAGCTGGTACAATATCTCATAAGTTTGGTCTCAACAATTTTATACTTGTACAACGCGTTCGCTCTAAGTTTGCCGGTCTGTGGAATGCGCGTACCCTCCCCCACGTGACAACAAAACTTATAATGTGTCATAGTTTTACCCAAATATCTAACGTACACAATTTTTATTGTTACAATTAAATAAAAAATTTCGAACGTCATACACTCATACCTATCGCCAGCGGCAAACTTAAAACGAGCGGGTAGTATACTTGTAAGCGCTCAATCTCTTTGATAAAAGCCGCCTCTGAATTAGACGCTATAGTTGTCAACTAGCGACTTTCGTCTCTAACTTCAAAGGATAAAGTCGATATTGTTTACAACGCTATTTTTAAATTTCTGTTTTTATTTTTGCTTTTTGTTTATCAAAGGTGCCGACTCGAGTATTTTCGAGAATATTTGAGATCGAGTCTAGGACTAAGTATAAAAGCGGCGATCGCGCGTTGGCGTCGTCAGTTGATGATTAGCGTTCGGAGCGATAAGTTACTACCTACTTACAAGCTCGCTAGCGAGAAACTGGTGTTCATTGTTTTACTGCCTGCTGTATTCTGTTGTCTCAGTTTTATACATTTCTTCCCTGTAGGTTCTAAATTTAGTCTCTTATACGCAGTAACGATTGTGCATTATTTAAACCCCACTATCCTGACTTGTAACATTATAAATAAAGAAGAATGGAACGTTGGCTTAAAGGTGTTAAACGTGTTCCAACAACATCTTCTAATGACGCTGAATGTTCAAAAGCAATGCGCGCGGAGAATTTAGCAATCACCGATCCAGAAGATGATGCCACGAGTGCCACGACGTCAAGCTCGACGGTTTCAAAGACGAAAAAAAGGAAGTATGATGAATCTTATATCAGTTTCGGATTTGTTGATTCCAACGGCTCACCTCTCTGCATGCTCTGTAGTAAACTGCTTCCTAATAGTTCCATGGCACCTGCCAAATTGCGTCGACATTTAGAAACCGTACACCCCGAGACTAAAGACAAGAATAAAGAATTTTTTGTTCGCAAAAAAGATCAGTTATTAGAAAGTCAAAAAAATATGATGCATGTAACACAAACTACCAACGAAAAGGCCACGGAGGCATCATACTTAGTTAGCTATCGCATTGCACAAGCAGGTGAAGCGCACACTATCGCTGAGAAATTAATAAAACCATGTGTATTAGACATAACAAAATGTATGCTTGATGAAAAATCTGCAAAGCATCTTTCTACTGTTCCGCTATCAAACGATACTGTTTCACGACGAATCCATGATCTGGCAAGCTACGTCAAACAAGAACTAGTTACACGTCTACAAAATACACGATTCGCTTTGCAAATGGACGAGTCGACTGATGTCGCTGGTTTGGCTATCCTGCTGGTTATTGTGAGATATCCATATAAAAGTTCTTTTGAAGAAGACATGCTTATGTGTTCATCGCTGCTTACAAACACTACCGGGGAAGAAATTTTTAATAAAATAAATATATTTTTTGAAGAACATAATCTCAGTTGGAACAATTGCATTGACATTTGTACAGATGGGGCCAAGGCGATGACAGGTAAAACAGCAGGAGCAGTGTCACGAATGAAAAATAAAGCGCCTAATTGTAGTTCCAGTCATTGTATTCTGCATAGACAAGCACTTGCGATGAAGCAAATGCCGTCTAATCTAAAATTAGTTATGGATGAAGCGGTAAAAATAATTAATTTTATCAAATCACGACCACTACAATCCCGATTGTTCTCATTATTGTGTGAAGATTATGGCAGCAAACATAAAACACTGCTGCTCCATACAGAAGTGCGATGGCTGTCTCGGGGAAAAACTTTAACAAGGCTATTTGAACTTAGAGCCGAGTTACAAATGTTTCTTTCAGCAGATACTTCTTTTAATTTGAAGGACCGTTTGTATGATAAAACTTGGTTGTTCCGATTGTCTTTTATGGCGGATATCTTTCAAAAACTTAACGAATTAAATTTATCATTGCAAGGTAAACAGACAACAGTGTTTCAGGCCTATAATAAAATAACTACTTTTAAAAGAAAATTAGATTTTTGGATCATTTGCATTGGTAAGAAAGAAATAGAAAGTTTTACGTTACTCACTGAGTTTGTTAGCGAAAACGACTCAGAAATGTTTGAAGATAATGTGTTTGAAGAATTGGTCCAATATCTCAGTTCGATGCGCGCATCTTTTGAAAAGTATTTTCCCGAAGAACACAATACAAAAATTAAAGTGAACTCCTGGATTCATAATCCTTTTTTACCCAACTTGGAAAAGCCTGAAAACATGTCAAATGAGATATATGAATCTCTTTTAGAAATGTCATCAGACACAAGTATGGAGTCATTGTTCAAAACGACGCCTCTTAATGATTTTTGGTGCAGAATCCAAGATGAATATGCAATGCTTGGCCAAATGGCTCTGGATATTCTTCTCCCGTTCCCAACTACATATTTGTGCGAAACAGGATTCTCTACCTACGCAGCCACGAAAACAAAATATCGCAATAGACTGGACGCCGAAGCTGATATGAGACTCCAACTTTCTTCCATCAAACCTGATATCAAGCAATTGATGAAAAATAAAAAACAGTTTCATACCTCCCACTAGTTAGATTTTTTCTTTTTTAATGTTTTCTATTATTGTCCTTACCAAGTGGTGAAGTAAATAATAATTAGTAACGGATACATTGTACTTTTATTATGCTGATTAATATAGAATACACTTATAAAAATAATTGTTTTATTGTAGGGTTCCATCAAGTATTTTGCTTCCCAAAAGGGTTCCGTCATTTAAAAAGTTTGAGAACCACTGCACTAGACCTTCATAATTGGACCTTACCCACAAAATAGGACCTCTTGTCAAAACATGGTGCCTACTGGACCTTTAGAGGCGGGCTTAGCTACACAAAATAGGAATTCTTGGAGCTCTTATCTCATTGGACTATTTGGCTAATTCTTTTGCAACGGTATAAGTACTGAAGTGCAGTAAAGCAACATTGTTAAAGAAATAGAAACACAATGTTACAGTTAAATCTAAATATTTAATCAACATATTTATAAAGTTCAATACATCAATCCTTACCAACAAATAAAAAAAAATAGGTAATGTAAAATGAAATTGAAGTTTTTTGTACCTTATTTTTAAAGACAATAGAAATTATTTTTTATAAGTTATCTTAATAAAATTATACCTACATAATGGTTTTCAGGTACAGTTTTGGGATGTAAACAATAGGCAGAACTTGACAGAAATATTGTTTATTTTTTTAGTAAAATTATTTTCTAGCTGTAACATAGATCATAAACCGGTATGAGGCGGGAGGGAGGAGGATTTCTCTCTCTCCCACAAATGAGATCGGCGCCATCCTTTTGTTTAGGCGTTACTGTAAGCGTTTGTGCATTACTTCTGTCAATTAGAACTATTTAGTTTTTCATCTTTTCTATATATAGTTATTCATTTGTTTTATTTTGTTGCATATTATTAGAGTGGATGTATAATAAAGAAAAACGTATTTTGAGGGAAATTAATGTTTTATTTGCTATAATTTATGTTTAATGCTATTTTTAACAATGTCTTACTATAGATCAAATTAATCGTCATTGTCAACTTATATACAACTTGTCAACTTATATAAAGAAGTCTTCAAATAAATGTGCTCATCTCAAGCTTAATTTTGAATATCTTTAGTGTGTTTATTGCATTTAAAATATATTATTCTTGCTTGCCACTTCATCTTTCACTTGAGCCCACACCAAGGGATAAGCGGATAACCTAGTTTCCATTCTACAAAGCTAATTGGTCAAAATAGTTAGATTTTTAATAATCACACTACATATCAGTACAGTAAGGTCTCGATCTCGAGGGTGTGCAAAATTAATACTTTAAAATATTTTCGAGTCTTCTTTAATTTCCGTCTAAAATGTGTACATACACATTATTTATTGCAATATGTACGTGCAGGAGACGACATAATATTATTCCGACAGGCGTATTATTATTTTTGTAAAATTTGTCGCTAATTAATTCGAGGGCAGGACAAATGTCGTTAATACGAAGAAAAAAGGCAACTAAATTTCTTCATAAATTTTTTGAGGATTGCTTACTGTTTGGAGTCAGTACCTATAAAGTATTTATTAAGTGGCTTTATAACACCTTCTATTGTTAGTTTGTTGTCTGCAATAATATAATCTCTTAGGGAGGGGTACATACAAATAAGGTCCAGTGGGTACAGTTGCAGTAGGGTTTAATCTTGAAGGTCCAGAGGGTACCAGACTACCAGTCGAATTAAAAAAGAGGTCCAATGGGCACATTTAATATAAAAAAATTAAAAAGGTCGTATGAGCCATGTAAATAAGGTCCAATAGGCATTTGTTGCTTTCGGGTTGAATCTTAAGGTTCCAGTGGGTACTAGACCCTTTTGGGTATCTCTTGTCAGGTCTTGGTGTAGTCAGTTGTTCGTAGGACTTTTTGTATGCGGCACTTGTATTCCCTCGTATGCGTTACTCGATGTGTTTATTGATATAGTTTGGCACACAAAAGTAGACTGCGTAGTAGGCTATTAGGATGATATTTGATGATAAATTAATTTATATGCTAAAGTTCTATGATAAAGGTAAAATAATACAAGTGTAGGGACACAGTGCAGAGTATGCTGAATCGCTTCGTATGTAATACGTCTGTTTTCTTGAATTTTTTTTTACTGCCAGCACACTTTCTTCGGTGACAGCCGTCGTAGGAAAACCACTCCTTTGTTCATTCCCAAAGTAAGACGACCGCGTTTAAACGCGCTACACCAGTTGTAGATGGTTGCTTTTGAAGGTCCTTCATCCATAAAAGCAAATCGAAATCGATCGAATGACTTATCAGGTTAAGCCACATTAAAAATCGTAAAAAATCATAGCACGAAAATGTTCTCGATGCAGATCCATTTTATAATGAGACAAGAAAAATTTAATTGGCTCTCGGAAAAATGCAAAATAATTACAAGTACCGAGTAACTGCGGGTTACTTTGACCTAAATGTGCACTTTTTTTCAAATAAAATTGTAACTTCTCTTTGTGATGAATATGTCACGTTTATATCTTGCCATTTTGGACTTTAAAGTATAAGTTACAAAGTTATTATACAAAAATAGGAAAAAATAATATTTAAGGGTTAGTATATTTTTCTTTTATTTTGGGCCAAATTTGGCGTTAAAGAGGGTTACTTTAGCCCGTTGAGTTTTCTCTGTGAAAAAAACTCATTTTAAGCCATGTTGGGGTTAAGGAACCCTTATAACAGATCACCATTAGCATACTGAATACACAAATTAAGTTAAATAAAAAATATAACTTTAAATTTAGAAAAAATAGTAAACTTACCGAAAACCACAGTTTTGAGAAAGTTTGCGCATGAACTTGCTAACTATTTCAGTTACAAAAAATCTCGCGTTACAATGACAACTTGATACAGGAACGATGTCGGTAAAATAACACCATACTACGCGCCTATATGGCTATCTGTGATATTCAACTGGAACTATTACCGTCACCCAAGAGATACTGATGGGGCGGCAAGTTCAATATTTTTTCTGATTTGGGACAAAGTTACCCGCCTGAGCTAAAGTAACCCTCACTTACGGTACTGGCCACTTGTGAGCTGGCCGTTCGAGGGTAGTCTTATACATAAAAACTTTTTTCGTAAAGCTTTGGGACATTCGCCTAACGGAAATGTTTTGGAAAACGCTAACGCTTTCGATTTTTTTTTGTTATTTCTGACCGCCGAAGGTTCTCAAATACCTCATGCTCATTCTTTTAATATTGTTATTACCAATGCAAAAAAAAAAGAGCGCGAGGCATTTGAAAACCTCAGGCGGCAGATGAAATCGTAAGCGTTAGCGTTTTCCAAAGCATTTCCGTTAGGCGAATGGCCCCCTGGTATTGCTAGGTTTGCGTTAAACCTATATTAGCAGATGTAGTACGTTAATGAATCGTGCATAATCGTATGACACGGCTCAGTCTTCGCGATACGTGTTTAAGGCGTAGAGTAGACGTTTGGCCCTACATGAGGGCTCAGGCGTGGTGGAAGTGGGAGTACTTCTAAGGTACAAGGTTGTTGCCCCTTTAAGTTATTCTGCAGCGCTCGAGTAAATCCAAAAATCTCCACTTGGGGTCTTCTACTATAGTCAAATAATTTATTGATTCAGTACTTACATAATGTGACTGTTGAATTTGGACTTTTAATTTTTGTTGCAGATTTTGACTATTACTATAATGTAATTCGATCGTCTGGGAAGGACTATATAGAAACCGGTGTGGCTGCAAAAGAGTTTCTCAGTACAAATATCAAAGAAAAATTTCGCGTCTTTCAGAAATATGTTGCAGCAGCAAACGATGCACGTACCATGCTCAGTGAACGCTCTCAAGATCCAGGATGGTTTGAAGGTAAATCCCCTGAATCAATATTCTTAAATTATTATTATAAAATAAGATTAACTATTACTGACTTTACTCTTATATACCTACAATGAGTAATGATAAGATTTTAATAAAACAAAATAAACTTCCGTAGAAACTTTGTCGTGAACGTAACAAACACAATAGAAAAAAAATGCTGCCCAACTGCGTTTACCCAACATTAAAACAAAGGGTTGTATGGCGCCCATCCGCCTAGGGTAAGTACGTAGGCCCCTGATTGGCACCCACCAATCCGCGTGGTGGGTACTCATGGCCCGTTCTCTATTCCATCCATAATTCCATTGTGAAACACATAAGTACATTGTGGCATAATACCTTGTTGTATTCTAACAATGAGGTATATTACTTGCACGACATATTCATTTTACATATAAGGTTGTTCACCATCATTAATTTGTTATAGGCTTGGACCCTTCAGAAAAGACCAAGGAGCAAACTATGTCCAAACGAGTGAAAGAACGGATGAAAGGATACTATTATAAAACCAAAACGGCATTGCAATCTTCTGAACTTTACATTAATTCCAAAAGGGGACGAGGAAAGAAACTTATTGATCAGTTCCTAGACGACCTCCGGAAGTTGCTAGAAAGCAATAAATATAATGAGACTTATTTCAACAGAAAAGCTGAGAAAGATGCTCGGCTTTGTAATGAAAACGGGCTGTTCCAGTGTGGTGGTCTCTGGAATAATAATACTTGCGCATACGAAGGTGAGCATATCATTAATCCATACAGAAGCCGTGAGGAAAGGATTATATTCCAGACGTGGAATCTAGACCATAAGATTGAGCTTTCAAGATCTATTATACCGAAAATATTGGAGGCGATACAGTGGCTATACAATGAAAATATTAAATGTATTTCTTGTGACAGCAACTTCAAGAACGGCAGTATTGAAACCGACCGATATTACTTACAGATATTCACTCGTTATAATTTGAAATTGGTCCATATTGTTTGTCACTTTAAAGGTAAGCACAGCATTCAATCTGACATATACACAATGTGCAAAAATTGCTATGGGAATACAAGTATTGAGTATATTAAGTAAAGAAAAAAAAAATCAAAGGACATTTGATGTTGCACTGTAAGTAGCAGTCATGTCCTGCAAATATGATCATGTTGCAATATTTTGTATTAATTTATTGAAGAAATTTAAAATACTATTTATAAAAGATTATTTTTTATCAATTTACTCTTTTTATAGCTGGTAAACAGCCTTTGCTTCCATATTGACTATATTATTTGTTCTCGGACTTGTATTCTACATATAAACCCATGAAAATCAGTTTAATAATTATTGCGCTCATCGCTTATACATATATTTATATACAGACAAATGCGGTGGGGACACTGTTTTATAAAGTATCTATAAAAGTATGTTAAATGATTATTTTCAAGATATGATTAAGCCAAATTTTTACTAATTATCATTGCTTACTTATTGTAGTTATTATTTTAGTAGAGACATATATTAGTTCGGAATTAAATGTCAAGATTATCTCTAATGAAATAGATGCAATTATTTCTAGAATGTAACTCCGTATGTAGTGATTCATGTTATCATATAGTTAGCCTTCAAGAACTAGTGATTATTTACAAATTTGAAAATATATAATTGTTAATGTTGTAATTGTTTACTAGATTAGAATGACTTTTCTATTCCTTGATTGATCTCCTATGCCCTAGACATTTTAGATTTTTAGGCTAACAGTTGAAAGTCCAATTGATCGAATATGAAAGTAGTCTGCATATTTTTATAATATTAGTTAATTAGCGTTTTGACGTTGCACTCAGACGTAAATTAAATTTTAACTAAGTAATACATACTTACGTTGATCAGCATTAGAAAAAGACAAACATTAAAATTAGGTAATTGATGTCTAGGAGTGCATTAGTAATTGATGATTTACTTGTACGAGATGAGTAATTAGTCTAAACATGAAATTAAAGTAAGACAGTACATTAATTGTTTCAAATGATATACATACTGTTATTTTTTTAACTAATGGCAAAATCACATGTTAAATGTTAAAACTGCTGATATGCCATAATTTGACAGAGTGAATGGGGATGAATTATTTTATATGTTGAGAATCTTACGATGACTTATTTGTATATTTTACTTCGTTGTTAGTGAATCTAACTTTCTATCAGGTGAATATAATTGTAATGTGTGAACCTCAATTTATATACAGGGATTATGTAGATAGCAATTTCCAATTTAAACGCAGCAAACTAGTAAGATGTTAATTACAATTATACATAATTAAATTATTTGCAATTATGTTTAAGACAAGACCGGCGTTAACTATTAGTACGGCAATCGTTGCAAAGGAATGTTTTGCCTCAATCAGTAATCTTACTGCATCCACACGCAGTTACTTTTTGTGGAGCATCGTTTTAAAGTGCTAATACCAATATCTGATAGCAATAGCAATAATAATTTCACAAGTTTTAGAAAACGGTCTCACGTTATTTACCAGTTTATGGAGTCCATAAAAAGTGGGTATTTTAAATTCTGATTTAAATAGTATCCTACAGTAGTAAAAATACGAAATTAAAAAAATATATTTTCAAGTTGCCACGAAAACGTTTCTCTGGACATTTCGATTTCCTGAATAGGAGAATCCACTTGTCGCGAGGTCAATATCCGTGGGGCCGGCGCGGCGTCCGTGGGGATGTCTCGACTTACGTCGTCGTTTCGATTTACGTCGCGTATTTCGAGAACCTAACATGCCGTAAGTACAAGGACTGCCTGTACTTATTTGGAGGTTTCTTGAGTAGTACAAGGTACTTTTTTTTTTAAGCTATTGAATTACATAATATTGAATGAAGTGAGTGAAATTATGGGTTTTGAGGCTTTACCACTTATTACTGGGAGTGGCGATAATATTTATCTGGTTTATATGGATTAAGTCACTATTTTATTATGATGAAGGTGCAAAAGAATTAAGTAAACTTAGGTATCTATTTGGTTTAAAACCGTTGATATCGTATTGTATGAATGACTGAAACGCGGTACAATGTGCCAGACTATCGAATTTCTGTAGAAAAAAATTGTTTATTTTCGACAAAGTCTACCCAAGTAGCATTTTATTCCATTTAAGAGTACACATTTAGTTCCAAGGTGAACTTAAAGCATTACTACAGTTCACTCGTGATTTATTAGCTGCATTATTGCAATTAATTACACCTATACCTTTCTAAGGGACGTATAGGAGTGTAGAGTAATACTTTTATACGATTATGGGTGTTATAATACTCTAACAACTACCCTTTAGTCAGCTTTCTGACTAAGAGCATTATAGGAGGGTAGAGATACGGCAACCTCTGTTTAACGGCCTACTTGTTCGATGTTATAGAGCTAGCATTTTAATAGAACACTTGTGGTCATTTATAAAGCCCAAGGCTGTTATGTTTACTTGTTTTAGACTGTTATACAGCCAGTTGCTGTATAAGGACTTGTTTGTGATACTTAAAATAACCTTTTTTTACTATCTGTATAGAAGTGTTTAAATAATTCACATGTGGACTGTAGGCTGTTAGAAGGACTATATGTGTTGTCCATTAACATCAATAGCAGTTTATTTGTCCACAAGTACTACTTTTATTTGCTGTAAGCTGAACATGAATGTGAATGTGATATTCTATTACACTTTTTCCCAAGCGCCATTGCAAAGTATGTTTTTACGTCACGTGCAATAAAATTTGTGAAAATGTATAAAAAATCTTGGAAAATAAGAGCGAGAACCGGTGGAATAAGAAGAAAAATTGCAAAAGAATATTTGAAAATAAACAGTCGATTGACAACGACGCCCGGAAATGAGCCCGTCGATAAGGCTTCAACAAGTGCGACTTCAACCGTTGTTGGTGGTTCCGTACATGATCCAGAGGAAAATATTATGCCTGAACTTGAAAGTTCCCTTCAAAATATACAGATATCTGAGTGTGGTGATTGCAGTTCTAGTGATAGTGAATACAATTTTGATTTGGATAATTGTTTAACCTTTCGCAAAAAAATAAGAACATGGGCTAATGAAAATCGTATTCCTCATTCTGCTTTGAATAAATTGTCAAACATAATAAACGAATTTAAACCAGGAACACTACCTTCTGATGCTAGAACATTTTTATGCACTCCCGTTAATGTCATTTTAAAAAATGTAGAAGGAGGTCAATACTGGCACAATGGGATAGCAAAACCTTTGAAGAGCATTTTGCTAAATTGGACGGATATTCCAGATATGATTTCAATTAACATAAATGTGGATGGTTTGCCTATTTTTAAAAGTTCCACAAATGAATTTTGGCCCATATTAGGTAACATTTTTGAAAATCCCAGGATTCGGCCTTTTATTATTGGAATCTATTTTGGGAAAGGAAAACCAAAAAAATTAAATGAATTTTTAGAAGATTTTGTAAATGACATGAAGATATTATTAGAAGAAGGTCTTGTAGTTGAGCGCTTAGAGAAAACTATAAAGATACAAATCAGATGCTTCATTTGTGACTCGCCAGCTAGAGCTTATATTAAAGGTAAGTCTATCTTAGTGTCGCATATTATCGCCATTATGCACCCAATATCGATAAATAACTAGTTGAAATTATTGATGCATCTCTTAGTATTTCTAGATAACTTTGATAGCTCAGATGGTTGGTAGTGAAACTGCCTTCTATTCTGTGGTTCGTAGGTACGATCCGCACATGACACAATTATTTGAAATTTATTAACTTTTTGCTTATATTATTATAACTTGATTTAAAATATTTTTTTGCAGGAGTCTGCAATTTTAACGGTAAACACGGCTGCCATAAATGTACTACAGTTGGAGAATATTCGCATACCACACATACCGTCACATTTTCTGAGTCTTTGTGTCCTGAAAGGACAAATGAAGGATTTAGAAACAAAATTTATGGCTTGCATCATAAAAATGACTCTCCTTTATTAAATCTTCCTATTGACATGGTGAACCAATTTATTGTAGCCGATTCACTTCATTTGATCGACTTGGGTGTTATGAAGAGATTACTGATTGGTTGGCGTGACGGCAACTTTGGCAAATATATTACTAAAATGCGGGCAAGTGATATTGCACTGGTTTCAAATTTTCTATGCAACTGCAAACTGCCTTCAGAAGTGCATCGAGCAGTGCGAGGTTTAGATTCATTAGCACATTGGAAAGCGTCAGAATTTAGAGCATTTTTTCATTATTTAAGTATTGTCATTTTGCCTGATGTTATGAACAATGAAGCTTATAATCATTTCTTAACACTATATTGTAGTATAACAATCTGCTCAACAGAAACATACCGAACTTTGTTGCCATTAGCAAAGGAGCTTCTGGAACATTTTGTAAAATTTTACAAAGACTTCTATGGTTCAGGCTACGTTACAAGCAACATACACAACTTACTACACCTGACGAATGAAATTGAAATGTTTGGCCCTCTGATGACATTCAACGCATATCCCTTCGAGAATATGTTATTTATGATCAAAAGTATGTTGAGATCAGGAAGAAAACCACTGTCTCAAGTTGCCAAACGATTGGCTGAAAATATGGATGATATTCATTTTCAAACACATAAAGACAAGAAATATCCTTTTGTGAACACAATTAAAAACAATAATGTATTAAATTTTGAAGATTTTAAACTTTCCAGCAAAGAAAAAGACAGTTATTTACTTACCAAATGCAACGAGGTTGTTAAAATTTGCTGCGTAAAATTCAACCACAATAAGATTTTGATTAAAGGAAATAAAATCAACAACACAGAAGACGTTTTTGAATATCCAATAAAATCGTCTCATCTTGCGATATACAAATCAAGATGTCAGCAGAATAGTACCCATACTTTGATCGTCTTAGAACCAAAAGAGATTAAATGTAAATTAGTATGTATTGAACACAAAGAATTTAATTTTTTTATCCCTTTGTTACACACATATAAATAAAATACTGTTTGATGTGATATTATTGGCTTTTATTACCTTTTTTTCACACAATTAACATATCAACATACCGACAAAAAATGGAAAATTGT